TTTTTTTTTTTTTTTAATTTTCTTACCATTCCCAGTTACGAATTGTTTGAAACAATATAAGTATTGATTTTGAATACTTTTTTTTAAACCGTCATGTTTATCCCGTTTTACTTTTTTCATTACAAAATATGCATACTATACATATTATTACGAGGTTTGAAAATATGTAAATTATACCTATTATATTTATTTAGGTACATTGAAGATAAAAGCCCGTAAATATTATTACCAGGTTCACTTGTAATAATCAAATTTGGTGGTGTTAAGTGCGTGCTGGACCGCGCCCACGTTTAAGTAACTTGAAATTAATTGCATATTAAACCATCAAAGTTTTTAATATTAGTTTTTATTTATTTATTTATTTTGAGGTGGGTCATTATTGTGGTTTTGATAAGGTTTAGAATTTATAGAAGTTTATTATCTTTTTAGAGCCGAATATATGACGATATCGAGATCCGTTGGACCCAGAAATGATACATTGGAAGAATCAGTTGATTTTTCCAATACCAATAGATTGATTGTTAATCATCCTCAATTCATTGTCCATTTGATATTTGAAAAGAAAGTAAATTCTACATGTTACGTTTACCCACATGTTAGCCTTCTCAAATTCGATCGAATATCATTGGATAAAACTAAACTCATTTTTTTGTATCATTATAATAGTCATTTCAATTAAAAAAATTACAAATAAGATACAAAGTTAGGACTAATAATTTCATTGCAAATTCAATTTAAGTTCCGCTATAGACTGAATTTGAGTTGGCTATGCGTGCACAGCAACGAAAATGCTATCAAAATCTATTAGTGTTGATAGATTTATTTTTTTTTTAATAACACTTTTGCTGCATATTTATATTGTTGAAGAATTATATTTTTATTTTAATTTCTTATTGTCTTAAGTGAAAACCAAAATTAAGCTAGCATTAATCCTTATGTAAAATATTTTAATGTAATTTCGGGATTAATTAAAATGAAAATACATGTCTTAATATTTCTCAATGGCAATTATATATAGAAAGCCAAAATAACAAACATAAAGTCATATATTAAAAGGAGATATTACGGTCCCGTTACGGAACCATTCCGTCAAAATTTGTAACCGTTAGATCATCATGCAACCGTCGATGATAGTTGATCTAACAGTTACAAATTATAACAGAATGGTTCTGTAATAAGGCAGTAGCATTTCCTTATATATATATTAAATGTTTATCCAATTATAGAAAGTCCAAATAACAAGTACGTGGACAAGTGTGTCCTATAGTCACAACGTGGTACCAATCAACCCGACAAAAATCAAGAAATTGAACACATTTGACCAACCTAGAAAAACAAAACAAAATAAAATGATAGTACTCCACCATTAAATTATTGTGTCCATTGGGAAAAAAAAAAAAAAATCCCCCTTAATTCATTCCCCATCTCTCAAAAGCCTATATTTAAGTATCTTTGTATGTTTAGTTTCTTTAACTCATTTTCCATTTTTCTCTTTCAATCTCTTTTCCTCTCTCTGATTGTTCGTGGTTTTTCTCTGTTTTTTCAACATTGCCTAAGGCTCCTCCCTCATCATTTGATTGAAAACATGGTATGCCTTACTCTTGATCTCCTTCTTGTTTCGTATCATGTTCGATATTTGACATTGTTCTCAATCGTGACAAGGTATGTGTAACAAAAATTGTTGTGAATATTATGTAGAGATATCTATCGTTAAAAATGTGTGAACCGAAATTATACGACCTAATATCTATCTATCTATCTATATATTGGTGTATCATCATGTTAACGTTAACAATTTATGAATACTTGTGATCCGTTGAACTACAAAATTCAAGACTGTATGAAATGTGGCAGGCGAACGCGGCATCTGGCATGTCGGTGCACGATGACTGCAAGCTGAGGTTCTTGGAGTTGAAGGCGAAGAGGAACTACAGATTCATAATTTTCAAGATCGAGGAGAAAATCCATCAGGTCGTGATTGAGAAGCTCGGCCAGCCTGGCGAAAGCTACGATGACTTTGCCGCCAGCCTTCCCGAAAACGAGTGCCGATATGCTGTCTTTGACTTTGACTTCACGACCGACGAGAACTGCCAGAAAAGCAAAATATTCTTCATTGCTTGGTATTTAATATTTATTGTCCACACATTTGCATGCAACATTCACGTTAATTATATGTCGTACGTTTTTCATGCTATCTGTCGTTAACCGTGGGTATTTTACTGGACAATTTCATCTTAACAAGAACGTAACTATTACATGCATCGACTTTGAATTTATTTCGTTTTCTTCATTCTCCTAAAGCCGTATTCTTGATATTTACAAACCACACAAACTACAAGAATCAAGTAACTAAATTAATTAGTATTACTTAAAATATGCAGAATTTATGACTAACATGCACTTGTATATGGATATAGGTCACCTGATGCATCAAGAATAAGGAGTAAGATGGTGTATGCAAGTTCAAAGGATAGGTTTAAGAGGGAACTCGACGGTATTCAAGTCGAGCTACAAGCAACAGATCCAAGTGAGATGAGCATCGACATTATCAAGTCTCGTGCGCTTTAAAGACTTGTAGATTTCGTGCTTTAAAATCACCATGTCATGTAATATCTTGGAGAGTTTTCTATTTATCTCTTCTTTTTTTCTCTATTTTCCCTTTTTTCCAATCCTTCAATATATAATCAGACCTGAAAATCAAGGGAAGAATTAATGTAAGATTGAAGTTGTTGTAATAGTATGAATTGTTGTCGTTTAAATGCAACATTTACTGATGGTCATTTTAAATGCAACATTGATGATTAAACTAAAGTGTCACAAGGGAATATTGTCAATCTAGTTATTAACCCAAATACATTTGTAAAGCACATCCCCCTATATATTAATTCAGAACGCGCTGAGCTTACGTGGCTGCTTCTGGTGCTTCGTACATGCTTCGTTATTAGGCTTGGGTAAATTTTAATTTAATTCCAAACAAAAAATAATTAGGTTCGGATTACCATAAATATGTTAATTATTTATGGTCATGTTATATGTATTAATTGTATTTTAATATCATTCTTTATTATAACTATTGAATTGTATATATATTTTAAAAGTAAATAACTTTCGTATTTTTTATCAGTTTTACATATGTAATATATTAAATTAATCTTCTTTTGACGAGCTTTGATTTAACATCCATATTGTATGTATAAAAAAAATAATTGATATTTATCTTTATAACAATAATAAAATTATTTTTAATATTAATTAGAAAAATAAAATTATTTATCAACTAATATATTTATATTTCAAGTAGTTATATGATATAAGTTATAAAAATAAATATAATATAACACATGTAAGTCATAAGTAACACATATCATTCTAAAATATATAGTAATATATTTTTTTTGTAAAAAAGTAAACTAAATTTAATATAGTTTTCTCAGTAATTTTAAAATTTAAGAATAATTTTTTAACAAGCACCCGTGTAATACACGGGTGCTGTACTAGTAGAGGTTTAAATCAATATTGTTCTGGTAAATATGTCAAATATTAAATTATACTTGTTTGGTTATTAGCGGACGCGAATAACTTAGGGCGTGATTGTATATGATTTGTACAGTAAATATCCCACTGAACAATTTTGCTAAGGAACCAGATGGTTGGTTTCCTTATGGAACCAACCACCAATGGGACAGCTCCACATGGGGCTGTCCCACATGAAAGTCATGTGGGACAGCCCCATGTGGAGCTTCCCATTGGTGGTTGGTTCCATAAGGAAACCAACCATCTGGTTTTATAGAAAAACTGCCCCATTGAAAATTAAATTTAACTCAGCTTTAACTCAACTCTACTATCTCTAATATTATCAATATAATTAAATAATATCAACCAATCATTATTACACATCACATCAAATTTAATTCACTATTCATCCAATCACATAATTTTAATTAACTATCACTTCCAATCATTTTCTCCTACTTTTACATCAAATCAACTTTAATTATTTGAACTTAAATATTATTTTAATATATTCCTAACAATTAACCATACTATACTTTTTTTAAACTTAACTATAGTTAAAAAAAAAAACCAGTTTTTTCTAGTTGAATTCATATCCAAACACCACCTTAGTGTTTTGGCGGATAGTTATTGGCGAAATGTAACTATGTAACAAATAATTTTGGCTAACTGATTGTAATAACAGTATGTAGATGAGTGTTCGGTAAATAGTTTGTATGTTGTAGCTCGTATTATATTTATGAATCCTAATTTGACCAATCTATATATGTATATAAAGAGACAACTTATTTACTAAAATAGTAACAAGAAAAGTCAACCAGCATTTATTGAATTCTATTTTTGTCTGTTTATGAATTTTCATTCCCAAAAATTGATCAGCTATATATGCACCCTAAATTCATGGATTTTGTGGATTTAATTTTAAATTTCGACTGATACTTACAATTTTGCAAAAGTCAAAACTATTTCTCATTTTTTCTCAAAAAAAAAATTGATTACCATAAAATTGAGATTTTTGAATTAGGCAATACAACTTATCCAGGGTTAAAATCAAGATTTCAAAATTATTATCGTAGAAGTTCAGAGATATAAAACAATACAATGAATCACCAATTTTGTGCAGGCTTAGTTAAGCATATTTAGACTCATTTCTTTATCAACTTTGTTCTACTTTTTTCACTCGTAATCTTAATAAGATTTATGTTTTTTTTAATCAAATAATATTTAGTGTATTTTCAAAATTTAAGATTAAATATTCTACTTAAAAAAATATGTTTATTCTTTTTTAGAATATAATATAAAAATACTACTGAATGAGTGAGTAATGTGTCCCATATGAATATTTAAATGAATGATTGAATGTGAGTGTGTGTTTAAATTGAGAGTTTTTTTTAGTAGAAAGCTGACGTGAATGGGATAGAATAGAAGTCGTGATTAAATGAACGTGTAAGGACGTGTATGCCCTAAAGTTCGGTAATAAGTAATTTGCAGTATCAAATGATTTGTGGACATCTACCAAAACAGCTATTAGTCAGCAAATTGCATCTAGACTGTTAATACAAAACAAGACTTAATTATGTCCAATTCAACAAAACACCTCCACAACAGTTGATAAAAATATACATTGATTTTGGTATATTACATCAAAATATAGAAAGAAAAAAAGAGAAAGCTAAACACTATGAAAAAAACCTCTGCAGGCGCCTCTCATTCACCAATATCTTCACATACAACCAATCTTCCACAGCAGCAAACTTCTTGAACATGGCGATATACCACTGCCTGCTCAGAAATAAACTGCCGAAAACTCCCCAAAATGCGATAACAAAACCGAGCAACGAGCCGCGCCAAAACTCTCTACTAAAAAACATGTCATCCTCGCGCTCTTGGCCGCTATCCGTGCCGTTACGTGTCATCTCATCTTCAGGACAAGGCTTCTGAACAAGCGGCGGGCCACAAAGCAGAGGATTCCCATTGTACGTGACTTCTTTGAAAGTCTGCATGTGACCAACCCATGGGATTTTACCAAAAAGGTTGTTGAAAGACAAGTCCAAAATCCCGAGGAAACTCAGCTGCGAAAGGGAAAGAGGAATGTGGGCCGAGAGTTCGTTTCTAGACAAGTCGAGAAAGTTTAGAAGGTCCAACCGACCAATGGCGTCTGGAATTGGGCCGACCAAGTTGTTTCCCGAGAGGTTAAGTCCGAATAGGCCCACGAGGCATGTGATCTCGTTCGGGATTTCTCCGGTTATATTGTTGCTCGAAAGATCGATCGTTTTCAACAGACTCAGCTCGATGGTTTTGTACTCGACACTCTTCCTTTTCCATGTCACGTAAGCGTTTTCGAAAATAAGGTAATAACTAACAATCCTATCGTCCAAAAAATAATCGGGGTCGTCAAACCAAAAGTCTTTCGAAGCCATAACCGTGAAGTTGTTCACGCATTCCGGCAGAGTCCCCGAAATCTTGTTAACAGAAAGATCCAAGACTTGAAGGTTCGATAAACGGCACAAGCTCGAAGGCAGAGCACCATAAAGCTCGTTTGACTTTAAGATTAGAACCGACAAATGGAGGAGACTATCTCCGAGCCAGACAGGTATTTGTCCGGTGAATTTATTTTCTCCAAGGTCAAGAAAAACCAATCCTGTACAGTTCATCAACGAACTCGGAATTTCTCCGGTGAAACTATTATTCCGTAGGTGTAATGATATAACGTTACAATCCGAGTCGATCGAGTTCGGAATCTCTCCGGAGAAATTGTTGTTAGCCAGATTCAGCATTTCAGCATTCAAGAAGTTTCCGAAACAATCACGTGGAATCTCACCCGAGAAAAAGTTGTTCGAAAGATCAAGACTTAATGTGGAGAGATTATTACAAATGTTGTGTAACGTGCCTGAAAACTTATTCCTCGACAAATTTATGCTAAAAAGTTCAGAGTTGCCGAGAGGTGGTAATGAACCGGTGAGTTCATTAGAGCTCAAGTCTACATTTAATGCTAATGGTGTAAACGAAAAATCGGGTAGAACACCATAAATGTGATTATACGACAGATTGATCGAGTCACTCTGCACAGTGTTGTTCCAAAACCAAGCCGGGATATAGTCGGATATTCCAGAATTAGAGATGTCGAGTTTTTTAACACGTTTTTGGTTTCGAAGCCATCGAGGGAAAAGAGGCCCCACTTTGCAGCTTGCTAATGTAAGTGAACTCAGCTGAAAGACAGGATTCCATGAAGAGCTGATTCTTATAGTAAGGTTTGAGTTGAAAGACAAGTTCAATGTTGTCAACTTGGAGAGATTAAGAAAATGGGCTTCGATTATTACTCCTTCTAAGTTATTGTGGCTGAGGTTCAATTCTTCGGCACTCGAAAGATAGCCGATTGTTTCGGGCAAAGTGCCGTTAAACATGTTACCATCTAAACTTACTAATCTCAAGGACAAACATGATGAAAGATTGGGTATCGGCCCGAAAAACTTGTTTTCGGACACGTCAAGAACCTCTAGACTAGGAAGGTTAAAGCTGTCATGTCCGAGCGAACCGTTCAGTTGATTACCTTTAAGCCTAATTTCCTTCAAAGATGAGAATCTCGACATGTTAGGCAAAGAACCGGTAAAAAGATTCTCGTCCAAACAAAGATACTCTAACACGGTGGATTCCCATAACCACATAACCAAATGCGATATCTTTCCAGACAAGTTGTTATGGGAGAGATCTAAGTACCGGACATTTTTCGGGTTGCCCTCGGAGGGTCGAGAAAACTCGCCTTGGAGTTTATTGTACGAGAGATCGAGATGACCAATCGAAATTAGACTCCACAAAGCATTGGGGATGTTACCTTCAAGATTATTGAATGAGAGATCGAGATAAGAAAGTCGCGTCAGACTACCGAATAATGCATAAGAGATGCTGCCAGTAAGGTTGCAATATTGGAGGTTGAGATACGAAAGGGACACGAAACTACCAAACTCGTCGGGTATCACCTTTTCACGATCACTGTTAAATGACAAATCGAGGTAACTTAAGCTCTTGCTCACGTCACGAAACTCACGTAAAATCAGCATAAAAGACACGATATTATTGTGAGAGAGGTCAAGGAGTACAAGAAGAGAATCAGAAGTAGCATTAACGAAATCGAGTGAGGAAGAAGGCACAACAACATCATTTGACAGGTCACAACCCGATAAACGTACCTCTTTCAAATTTTCCAAATTGGTTATTGCTTGTAGCCACGTCTTAACCTTCTCGAGCGAAACATAGCTGAGGTCAATGTATTCGAGTGACCGAAAACCGGACAGCCACTCGAGGTTTGTGATGGTTAAGCCGTTATTACCACTTAAGTCAAGATGTCTCAACATGGACAAGTTCTTGAAATGAAGAGGTATCGAACCCACGAAATTCGAGTGACTAAGACTGAGATGTCGTAATCTTTCAAGAGAACAGATTGACTCGGGAATCGGGCTCCCGCTAAAATCAATGTAACTGAGTTCGACATAATTAAGGTGAGTCAGTTCGAACAGAGACAAGCTAAATGTACCTTTCAGATTGTACGTAAAGTACTCGTCCATATAGCCGTGAAGAGCTACAGACACAACATGTCGAGTGCGGTTATTGCACGACACGCCTTCCCATTTGCAGCAGTCTTTTGCGTTTCCCCAAGAAGATAGCCAGCCATTTTCACCGGTCAGCCCGGCTTTGAAACGGAGCAGGGCATCTCTTTCTCACGGCACTCGATTTTGGGCTTCGACCGGCATGTCTGTAATAGTATGATAAAAAGAGAAACAGTTAGTAGAATGTCTGTATATATGGGCATCATTTTGTGATTCAAGTGATATATGTGTGTTCAAATATTTGCCTTAGCTACAGCCTAATGCATGTTTGGAGGAATTTATATATAGCTGTGGTTCTTGTGAAGGTTCCAAGTGGCTTACTAGCTCCCTTTGCAGATAATTCAAAGGAAACTGTTTTGAATTGTAATTCCTTAATAGAACCTTTCTTTTAATTCTACGGTCTCGTTACGGAACCATTTCGTAAGGTTTTGTGACCGATAGATTAACTATCCATGACGGTTACATGATAATCTAACGGTTACAAATCCCGACAAAATGGTTCCGTAACGGGACGGTAACATTTCTCCAAACTTTATTTTGCAATAACCTTAAACAATTATATATATTCGGTGAGCATTCCGTAATTTGAGGAAAAGAAACACAAAAACAAGATTTCTTAACTTAGTTTAGCTCGATAGTGGAGAATGGTGACCATAGGAAAGGGCAGATTATCTTAATACATAGGGGTCCATATGGTTAAATATATGATGTGTTGATATTTAATAAAATATTAGAGTAGACGACCCATTATCTTAATACATAGGGGTCCATATGGTTAAATATATGATGTGTTGATATTTAATAAAATATTAGAGTAGACGACCCACCATTAATATGAATATGGAAGATGCTACAATGCAGCATTTTGTTGGAGTTTGTAGCCGTTAGATCAATTATCTCTGATGGTTACGTGATGATTTAACGGTTCCAAACCTCAACGGAATGATTCCGTAACGGGACCGTAACATTTCCTTATGAATATTTGAACACGTTTATGTACATAAAACTAATTATGAGATTATGTAGAGTAATCCAATTAGTTAATACTTAAACTAATAAAAAGATACCAACAAAAGATAATAAGTGAAACTAATAAAAGATACCAACAAAAGAGAATAAGTGAAATATCTATAATGTGAGTACCATTATTTTTCATTATGTTGTGTTATAATTAATAGTATTTAATTTGTACTATATTTAATCAGAATTTATTTTATAAAAATAACAACACAATGTATAATACCATTAATTAGTATAAATAATAACACTATGTAATATTATAAATAATATTATGTATAATTAAAAATGACATGCATTGTCATCCAAAAAACTTGTTTTTGTTTGAAACCGTTAAGCCTAAATGGCAGGCCCGCATGCTTTGGGATCATATGTGTCAAACTTACATGCTTCGGTATTAGGCTGGTAGATTTTAATTTACTTTCAATGCAAAAATAATTAGGTCCGGACTATCCATAAATATGTTGATTATTTATGGTCATGTTTTAAAAATTAATAACTTTTGTATTTTTTATCAGTTTTACATATATAATATATCAAATTAATCATCTCTTAATGAACTTCGATTTAACATCCATATTGTATGTTTAAAAATAATAAATTATATTTATATTTCAAGTAGTTATATGATATAAGTTATAAAAATTACTATAATATAACACATGTAAGTCACACAAGCAACAAGTGTCATTTCAAAATATATAATAATATATATTTTATGTATAAAAGTAAATAAAATTTAAAATAATTTTTCTTATTAATTTTAAAATTAAGAATAATTTTTTAATAAATACCAGTATAATACACGAGATTTGTACTAGAATGTGATTAAACATGTAGTTGTGTCTAATGAGTAGCATGTATGATGTAATAGACCAAAAACTGGATGGTCTAGGTAGGATTTAGTTTATTTAGAAGGATGTTAGTTGTGATTTTTGGGAAATTTGAGTTGAGATCATGCAATCTATTGACCAGTTATGTAATGAGAAATGAAGAACTTATAAAAAGTGAAAATTTTTAAATAACATAACACATAAATTTATATGGTGGCCCCAATTATAATTGGGCCCTTCGCCACCCTGAATTTAGGCTCCCTGTTGACACCGCCCATTGTTTATATTATATTAATTGTTTAACTAAGTTTTCTTTTTTTAAAATAATAAAATATTATTAAAATATTGCCTGAGAAATAAGGTGGCAACTTCGGAACAGTCAAGATAAGTGCTAATGCGGCCTTCTCGACCTCCATATATTTTGCTTCAGTCCCTTATAACACCATATTCAGGTAATATCAGGGCTTGTGCTGCCCTCCATCCTCCTTCAGTAACACCGAGTTGATCTCTTCCTTGCTCATGGAGAGATATCAGACAAGGTCATATGCTGGTTTTGGCTTCACAAGCAACAACAACTCGGCCAAGTTGTGCAAGTTGTGTGGTTCATAAGCTTAAGGAGCCCACTCAGAACGGGACTCTTCCCTCAAAACTCGAAAAAATTTAAAACGTTTCTATGCGGATTGAGTAATAAATCTGTTTAATCCCGCTAATCAAATTGTGAGAAGTTGAACCTCTCTCATGCTTGCATCTCTAGCACTGCCTTTACCTTCTCGGGATTGAGCTCAATAACCCTAGCTCTTTGCGATAAGATGGCCCAAAAATCTTCTCAACCTGACTCCAAACTTATACTTTGTCGGGTTGAGCTTCATCCCATAACGTCTTGAAAGTTTCTTTCAGGTCTCGACGTGGCTCTCATCCTTCCTACTTTTTACGAACACGTCGTTGACGTAGACCTCCATATTTTTTTCCCAATTGATCACGAAACATGACCGCGCATCACAATGTGAGTAATTTAAATTTACAAAAGTTTCCTCAACGAACATCTACTAACTAGTAGTAGCGGCAAGTAGGGATCGATCTTACGATGAGTAGTAACTAAATTGTGATAATTTAATAAATATTTGTTTTTCTTGGTCTTGTGCACCTTTGTTGTTCTTATGCGAGGTATATTGTATGAGGAGCTCCCATAAATCCCTGCAGTTATTCTTATGTAAAAATTTTGACTTGTCTGTTAAAGAATGTGTTCTTGTCAATTTTTTATGTATATATATTCACATAGATTAACTTGAAAATACATTTATACTGGAAATAAAATTTGTCGATTTGTGATACAAATATTTACTTCTTGATGAATATCATCCAACATATTCGTGCTTGTACTCATAAATGAATGGCATATGCAATTATTGTTCCATTATTAAATAAAAAAACAATAAATCACGTGTTACATATCGAAGACGCGTCTTGGGCTGTTCAAAATCATTCCAAAGAGTGTCACCTAAAAGTAGAGAAGCCAAATGGGTTAACCCCACTGAAAACTAATGATTCAATGGCAGGCTCTAATCTCAACCATAACCATGGGATGGAAAACCCGAATCTCAACCCTAAAGCCAACCTCCCAGATCGGAATTCGGTAGAGTTCCTAGTGCTCAAAGACACTGTTCTCCCCGTTGGTGAAAGGAAGATACTCAAAGCGGCGTCGTTCTTTGTTTTTAGAAGAGGAACCCTTACAATCAGAAAACCCTCCAATACTGTCGATGAATACGGGGGCAGTTGATCATGGTCAAGGCTTACCACCAAAGAAGTCCTAACGGGATCTCGTGACGAAAGATCGTCCCCATGTGGCGCTATCTGACGGAAAAGAAGAAGG